AAAACAGGAATGACTGACATCCAAAGCTTCAAGATTTCGGTCACAAGTAATGTGTTTTTGTAGCTTTTCCAAATTCCACCTGGAGTGAACTTTATGCCAGTCATGATTTGGAATGAACATGCAAAATCACTCATGGAAGGAGAGGTAGGTTTGATTTCTTCTTTTAGATAATCGGAATTGCAGTACCTGTTTGGATGGGAAGTCATTTTAAGCAGTATTGGTGACGATGAGACTTGTTTCATTTCTCAATAGCCCAACTCTGATTTCCGAATCAATTACCAGTCAATTCGATAACTAAAAGTGACAAATAACTCATGGTCGAAAGTGATCGAGATTTCCTAGCCCCTTATTTTGGAAAAATTATTGGGGCTGACAGGGATTCTGTTCCAACTTGTTGTCGTGGTTATCCTTGCAAAATGTTGTTCTGTCGCAAAACTGCTCATTTTTTTTCTTTTTTTCTCCAAGGCGTCGATTTTTTGATGACATTTTTCAGAGGATGCTGTCGCACAAACGTCCTCCACTACAACGAGTAAGTCATGGCTCCAAAAGTTACTGTAAATGTTTTTCACCTTCAACTTTTGTTGTTTCGCCTGCATCCAGCAACCTGTGGCGGATAATCTTGCTGCAGACCCATTAACATTCACCGCAACCTTTTATGATCTTACGAAGTTCATCGCGATCCAACCACTGAGCCAAACGCTTCGTGGCCAATTGTCCTGGAGGGTCAAAGAAGAGCACACCTGAAATCCGCACCGACACTCATCGTCATGAAATTTACATTGATTTTTTCAGCCAATACTCGGTACTTAAATTGGCTTCCCGTGAGGCTTCCAGTTAGGGTTGTAAACATAGGAGGGCCGACTACTGCCCTCTTTATGTTAGGTGCTTTCGTCACTGCTGTGGAACTTCTTGAAACATCAATCGCTGGTGCTTCGCAAATGCGATATTGATATCTCGAGCACTATCGTAACTTTTCGATCTAGCTTACAATGATACGTATCGGATTTGTCCCTAGTTTTTGATTTTATCTGACGTCCTGTAAAAAGTGATCTCATTGGAAAAAACCGAACACGAAACGATCAAGCTAGGGCAAAAATCGCTCTTTGACTTTACCTCGATGATGCCGAAAGTAGAAAACTCATAATTAAACTCCATCCTCCAGCCAAAAAGCTTTGACATATATCAATTCCATCTGAAGAATGTGCCCCTCATTCGTATTCCGTTCAGAATCGTAGTGGCGGTTTGAATGTGTGTGTGGCTATACAATGACTTGCAGAAGTCAGCCAATAGGCAAGCCAGAGCTTTTATCCTCCCACTCGAGTTTGATCCCAGTACGACGAAGGATGGAAAGCTCGGTTAGCCTGATGGAATACCAATCTAGGATTCGAACTGCGGACCCTGCCTGTGTGATAGTGCACCACTTGCTATTAGACCGCCTCGCTTTCATTTCAAGCATGAATAAACTGCAAGAATTTTTTTGACAACTTAGCACTCAAATTTGATTTTGATGCAGTTGTTGATCCAGAATTTCATTTCAGGCTGTTTGGGTTCCATCTGATGGATGTTTCACACAGGTCGACTTTTTATCTTCTTTTAATTTGGTGGTTCACTAGTAGTGAAGTATCCTCATATTGCTACCAAAACAAAGGCAAAAAATAATCAAGAAGTAAGATAAGTAGAAATAAGTCACAAAAAGCAAAACACTATGCGATATTGATGATGTGCAGGAAAAATCGAGCGAGTATAATGTGAAGTAAGTAGTATTATTACTGAAATTGAAGTTTATGAGCTCTCTCTTCGTTGAAGTCTAAATAAGGAGCTTATAGTGAAGTGCTAGAGGCTGGAAAAAAAGGCAGCAAAGCGCGCTTGGGATAAGCTTTGAAGATCAGTATCTCCCGATTTATAAGTACTTTGTATACATAGGTTGGTGCGCAAGGATGAGAGAGACAGCCAACGTCAAACGTAGCTTGGCTTTGTCTTCATGATTTTTGTAATGAGCAAAGAAAATGATCCATACTTTATTACATTTAGGGTACTTGGGAGAGAATGGATGATGACAAATTGGTGGAAGCGCCATTGACTTCAGTAGCTACAGCCTTAGAGGTAAGTTACCGATGAAATCAAAAACATCGAAATTTTAATCGCTCGTAATTGGCAGTTCAAAAATCGTAAGGGTAGCATTTCCTGAAGTATGCTTGAAGGGTCTCTCAGCTGTTGAAACTCGATGGCCAATCATGGTGAAATCAGTAAATTAATTTCGGATGCATTTAAAGCACAGGTCACGATGAAAATGGTTTCTGAGTTCTTCCCCAAGGAATACCCAGTGGCCCCCAAGGGTAACAGGAAAGAAGTTTTCGGTTCCCAAAGCTCAACAGCTAGGCATAGTGGGAGCCCGGTTGGCGGTCGCCTGGTTGATACACATTATATTGCTCGTCCGAACGATTCATTCGTCTTCATTTTTCCGTTCTCATTCTCGTCCAACCCTCTTTTTAACGAATTTTTCGAGGCCTTTTTTTCACCTTCACACTGATTCATGGACTCTCTTCGCTTTTATCGCCTGTTTTCCATTTTGTTTTCCCTTTTTCGTCATGATCTGGATTACCCAAAATTATCGTGAACATTCGATGTGCACTCGATATCGAAAATAAATTGTGGAATACAATGCCGAATTTTGCGCTTGGAGAATTGTGGGAGGGCTTTAAACTCCGAACCGAAATTGAAGTTTGAGCGGATGAGTTGAGTTATAGTCACCGCGTCTCAACGAGAAAATCGCATCAGTATCAGATTTTCTTCAGAATGAGACTGATTAATTTTTTCAGCTCTCTCCAACGAAATCTAAAAAGGACAAAGCAAAGGTATCAGGTTTTTAAGCCAATATATTTGAATATCTCCTAAATACTCTTAACACGTTGGCGACGAGAGCGTTTTTCCTTTGCGCGCCCACGGGACGAGACCGTTTGAAAGCGCTGACTAATCGTCCGTCACTATTGACAGACATCGTCCAACGGAGCAGACACCCTATTTAGTTACTGTATTCATAAGTAATAAGCTATATTTGTGTGAAACAAGTAATAACTCCTGAAAACAAAAGAAAAACTTGTATTCTGTTAAGATTTGGGTGAATATTACAAAATCATGGGGCTTTGTAGACCAATTCGGTGTATGAAGCTTTGAATAGTGATTATTCATAGTAGGCACTATTTAAACGTTTGGCGGGAACAGGATTAGAGGTAAGGCGATAATTGTTAGATGGAATTCAAATTTTAATTGGTATCTGATATGATGTTTGACTCCCCACTCGATACTTATTATTTCCATAAAAACCTTAGATTTAGAAGGATCATAGGTCTACGCTAAAGTTAGTAAGTAAATAAAAAAAACAAATATGAAACAAAAAAACTTGAGAATTTCTTCATTTAGCTGACTTACAGTACTGTCGGTCACCATTGACCGATATCGTCCCACGAGACAGACTGGTTGTCGGTCAACATTGGCCGACGTTGTCGTCAACGTGTTAATGTATCTGTTCCAGTTGTATTCCAAAGTATTTCAAGGTACCACCTTCTCTCACCAAAGGTGAGCTTGAGCACAGTGGGGAAGAAGCACCTGCAGTCGAACAAGAGGTACTGCAATGCATTATTCATGTTGTGAAACGTCCAGTGTTCAAGCTAAAATTGTCCTACTAAAGATAGAAAGTTGAAATAGGCATCATTCTAAATTTTTGCTGAAAACACGCGAAATTTGATGAAACCCCTAGCTACCATATATGTGATAGTGCTTGCCACTTCCCAATGCATCACCTCCGCCGATGCGAAGAAATATATCGATCTTGAAATCCACCATATAGTGTCCTTTGTTGTGTAGTAGAGGTCCTTGGAACCTTAACATAATATTTTTCAATTCAACTAAAGGAACTACGTTCAGAGCGCAACGGATTTCGATGAGGTTAAAGTGGACCCGTCCTCTAAGACAGCACTGAAGAAAGCAAGTGATGGTTTGTATTGTCTGCAATCAGTAATCTTTATTTCTTTCTACTTCTCACTTGTACCCATGTCTTAAAGGCACAGTTCACGATAAAAATGGCTTCTGAATATTCTCCGTGGGATGAATTCGAGGGGCCCTCGAATACCATATTTGACGCTATCGGATAGGAAAACGGCCTAGTTGGGGCGTTATAAAGGCTCAAAGATTGCGTCGTG